GGTGTGTGCGCTCACAATCAAAATAGACTAGGATTAGCGAAACGATCGCCGCTTTTTCGGGGCAGTCGTGTTTTCGGGGTTATTTGGAACACACGGTGTGCGTTTTTCGGGTGCTGCGGAGTAGTGCTACACGCAAGCGTGTTATATGAATAATTGTCGTCAGTCGATAGGAAACCCTAACTAGAATCTCATGACGTTAATTCTTCCGCGTCGGGATGCCATGACACGTGTTCGCGCGAGTAGTGCATCACAAGACGTGGTTTAGTGGAGATAATGTCGTCAGTATAGAACCATACACATAAATCTCATACGTATTATTAATCGGTGCGATGCCTGCAAGTGGTGACGCCGCCCCCGTGATCTGGAGAAGTATGGTGGCCTGCGGGGGTCTATGTCCGGTCTGGCCGCGAAGTACCTGTGGTTTATCTTATGCGGACAATACCTGGCTACTCAGCTACGAGTCTAGGGAGTCTCGCCTCGCCTATCCTAACCGCTAACCATATCAATAGTACCAGCTTCAGTTATGTGTATCGGTATCCGGCGCGGTACTCTGGGTACGTTTCCGGGCACTAGCCCTGGGGGGGACATAGACCTGAGGTTGAGCTTACTGTGCGCGGTGTATCTAACTAGTATACGTTGCCATATCCAGATGTGGGTTACTTTATATCACATGGTTAGTGCTGGTTTAATGGCATGTGCCATATCACAATAATTTGGTTATAGCCAGTATCAACCTAGCGAGGTCCTCAAGAGGTCAGTCCATATCGTATATCGGTTCGTGGGGGCGGGGGGGAATGTTTTACCCGTTATGGCTTAGATTCAGTGATTTCACAATGGACATGTGTATGCTAAATGCGCCCTGATGAACAGATGATATAAGGGTGCTATAAATTAGGCTCCTGCTAACGACATAGAATGAGATATTGTGCTATAATAGGCGCCTCAACACATATGATCTCTGCGTGCTACAAATAGGTTTCCGATCCTCAGCGATGACTAATGTGCTAGTAAGTTAGCTCGCCCGATGCACACATGCATGACGACAGTGCTATAATAGATCCAATCACACCTGATGGACATATGGTGCGGTTAATAGTCCCCATGTCACAATGAGATAATTTGGTGCGTATAAATGCTGCAACCATCCAATGATATAATGGCTGCTATAAAATGCTCCAGTCACACTATTGATGTTCATGGGTGCTATCTATTTCCGCCACCCTTCCATTAACGCCGCTACGACACGAGATCAGAGCCTTGCCAGCAGTGCTCTCTAGACAGTGATCGATCGTGTACAGAACAGGTGGCATGCGTTTTGCGCGCCGCGCCGCGCGCGCCGCCGCGCGTGAGGACGTTGACTTACTAGCTGCCTGCGTGCCACTGCGCTGTATGTTTTCGCTTTCAGCCGCCTGCCTTGGCCTTTGTTTCTTGCGATGTCTGCTTCGTGGAGCTGAACACGTCGACGAGCCCGATTGGGCATATAATACGGTGACTGGTCAGATTTCATAGCTATGCGCTTGACCACACAGGGTACTGTGAGCAGCATAAGTGATGGGTACATGTTCTGCTTCATGGTAGGCGCTGAACACCCAGAGGTACTGTGGGCCGCATGAAATACTGTTACATGTTCTGCTTCTAGCTAGGAGCTGAAACCCACAACGCGTCTGTGAGCAAGCTAGACTACACGTTAATGTCTGTTCATAGCTAGGGGTGAAGCACCCGAGTTACGTGTGAGGCAGTAATACAGGGTTAGATGTGCAGCGGTCGTAGCTATAGGGGCTAAAAACAGAGTACTGTGAGGCAAGTATAATTAAGGTTACATGTCTGCTTCGCTTAGCATATATGGGCTGCAACACCAGAGCTACTGTGGAGGCAGCCATATACAGGTTTACTATGTCTGCTTCGTAGCTCGGAGCTTGAAAACAACCAGGTCTGTGAGGCAAGATAATAACTTGTTAATGTCGCGGTGTTGAGCCTAGGAGCTGAAACAGCCCGGAGTACTGTGTGGCAGCATAAATCAGGTTACTATGGCTACAAGCGAATACTCGCTGAGCACAAATGTGTTATTGCGACAACAAAGGTACGCACAAATACATGTTGCTGCGAATCCTAAGTATAAAGCACAAATACATTGTTTGTTACTATAAGACCAAGGTAAGCCAAATACATGGTAATTGTTGACATCAAGGGTAAGCACAATCACATTTCTGACAGCTAAAACTGCACACAATCGGGTACTATGCGTTCCATGGAAATACCAGCCTCGAAATACTGGCTCCCCCGCGCATCTGGTATTTTTCGCGTGTGCGTTGCGTTGCGTGGAGTGCGTGCGTATAGGGAAGTGTGTGTGTGCATGCGTATGGGAGTGTGTGCATGTGCCATGCGTTGGAGTGTGTGTGTATGCCGATGCGTATGCCGGAAGTGTCGTGTGTGTGTCGCATGACGGTTATGGGCAGTGTGTGTGTGTGTGATGGTTGGAATGGTGTGTTTTTTTTGTTTGGTTTTTGGGGGCTTGTGCGGTATGCGAGTGTGTGTTGTTTCTTGCTATACTGGGAGTGTGTGTGTTGTGGCATGGGGCGTGCATGCGTGGGGCGTGGTGTGCTTTGGTCTGGGAGTGGTGTAGTTGTGCTGTGCACGCGCACATTATTACAGTGAGTACACCAGGAAGCATTCGCGCGTCGCATGTGTTGTGTAGTGTGGTGCTCGCATGGCGTTAACCGGCAGGTCTGATGCGCGTGTGGTGTGTGTTGTGTGCGTGTACCCGCAGCGGTCTGTGAGGCGGAGGCCGGGGCGGGGCGGGGCGTGCTGTTTGGTGCGTGCGTTACACAGCGCGGTCTGTGATGCGTGTGGTGGCGGTGGTGTGTGCATGTGTTGCATGTGTGATTGTGTGGCGTGAGTGCGTGCGCTGCTGGCGGCGTTCCTTACACTGCAGCGTCGCCACGCAGGTCCTCGATGTTCCATCACGCACTGTCACTCTCGTCTGCAGCGCCGGCGGCGGCAGTGTTGGAGAGAGAGGGATGCAGTGCGGGATAGGCGGCGACGCACGCCGCGGCCACACGCCGACAATGCCCGAGGACGACGAATAGCAGTCGCTGGAGGGGAGAGTGAGGACGGGTGGCGCCACAAGCGCATGGATTAGGTCAACGGTACGGTCCCTTCTGGAGGGGGGGGGTCATGCTCGTTATTGCTTGGTGCAGGGATTCGTTCTTTCTTCTCCCATCTCTTCTTTCGTCTCTCTTCTCCCCCTCTCTACTCCTCCTTCCCTCATCCTCCTCCCTCCATCTCCTCCTCTCTCTTCTCTTCTCTTCTCTCTTCTCCTCTCTCTTCTCTCCCTCTTTATCCTCTCCTCTCTCTCTCTCTCTCTCTCTCTTTTCCTTTCTCTCTTTCCATCCATCAATCTATCGCTTACTCTCATGTGTCTCCTCATGTTAACTCTTGCTTTCTCCCTCCTTTCCTTCCCCTCCTCTCTCCCTCCCCTCCCTTCCCCTCCTCTCTCCTTCCTTATTAAGACACTCACATTGCAGCGACGTCTCTAGGAAGTAGTCTATGTGTCTCCTCATGTTAACTCTTGCTTTCTCGAGCAGCAGGGTGAACGTGTCGTCGTCGACGGTGATGCCGTTGTCATCGGTGTATCGTCGCAGGTCGGCCAGGGTCACTGCCCGCGTCTCGTAGTAGCATACGAAGTGAGCGGCCGTCGGGATCGTCAGATCGAAAGCAAACGCCTGCCGCGGGAGCGTCGTCGCGCAAAAAAACACGAGAACAGTTAATATGTAGCAAACGCCTGCCGCTAGAGCGTCGCCGTGCGAAAACAAGAGAACAGTTAATATCGTGCAAACGCCTGCCGCCACAGCGCCGCCGCGTGAAAAACACGAGAACAGTTAATATCTAGCCAACGTCTGCTGTCAGAGCGTCACCACATTTAAGATACAAGAACAGTTAAACTTTAACGTTTAAAACGTTAAATTTTCAATAGAAAACAAATTATTGACACAGTGCCGAGGCATTTTGCGAAATAAGTAAACAACCAATAAATAATAAAATAGTTTTCAATATAAAATGAATGCCACATCAAATAAATGGACAAATAGCAAATAATTAATGCTAAAATCAATTTGCAATAAAATATAAATGCATGCCGTGTCGATTTCGCAAGGCAAAATAAGTAAATACATAATAAATGATCAAATTATTTAAATTCTCAACAAAATATGAATGACTACACCAGCGAAATCACCATGCACACGAATATAACTAAAAAAATCAAAACTAAATAACTAATAAATAGCGAATACAAATAACTATTGTTTTGCGCGCGCACCTTGAGCAACATCAGCTCCATCTGGAGGAACTCACGCAGATGAAATCCGTTGTTGATGCAGGAGTTAAGTTCACTGATCTTCGGAACCTGGTTGTCCTCCTCAACCTTAACTACAGACAATAAAGTAATCAACAAAGGTTACAAAAATGGACAGACTACAGGTGACAGAAATTGACAGACTACAGCTAGGTGACAGAAATGGACAGACTACAGGTAACAGAAATGGACGTACAGACTACAGGTGACAGAACTTGACAGACTACAGGTGACAGAAATTGACAGACTACATCTAGGTGACAGAAATGGACAGACTACAGGTGACAGAAATGGACAGACTACAGGTGACAGA